CCGAACCAGCAAACCCCGGGCTGCCAAAGCAGAACGTGCGCACTTAACCACTGTGCCACCGGGCTGGCTCCCTCTCATTTTTATTATTATGTATCTATCTTCTCTTGTCATTTATGTCTGTTTTAATTTCTATCCATTTTCCAAATATATTTAAATTTTGGGATTCATATAAAAGCATAAAGTCTTTTTACATAGAAACTCTATTGATCTGTGTCCACATGAGCATGTTCATCTCTGCTAAACTAAAAAGATAAACATTAACATGAGGAGACCTCTTGACAGTTTTCCCAACATTCCTTTGATGTTGTGTAACAGCAAAGCAGGAGAATTCTGTTTGGTTTAACACACTTGCAATAAGCTTTGGTGGTAACTCTGGTGATTTTTCAGACGCTGAAGATTAAAAGATAAATAAGATAGGTCCAGATCCCTTTTTGCTCTCTTTGTACATCTTGTACTTTCTTCTAAGTGGTTGGGATAATTTGTACTTTGTGTGTGCAAGGGTGGGTGTTTGAACTGGATCTTGCACCAGACTGTAATCTCCAGGAAGACAGGGATGATGTCCGCTCCACTTGTTCTGTTATTCCCAGTGCCTATCCTATACCAGGCCCTCCAAGAATATTTCCTGAGTGTCTTGAATGAATAACAGAGAGTCACTGAAACATTTTAATAATTGGAATGATAAGGTCATTTAAGTTGAGATAAATCATTCTGGCAGTACTTTGAAGTTTAGATGTAAGGAGGACTTGAGACTGTGCGTTAGATCTTGTAGTTTTCCAAGAGAGAAGATTCAGAAAACTCTTTAACTCAAAGATACATTAATTGAACATGTTTTATAGGCCCGATATTGTTTTAAGTATTGGACAGTCAAGACAAAATTGATTAAGACTCAGTCCTGACGCTTGAGATGATTACAATTTAGGATGCCCAATAAATGGGTAATGGATTCTGATTAGAAAATTCAAAGGAAAGTATTTAATGGAGAAGACAGCGTTTGAAAAGGGCATTGAGGGATGAATAGGAATCTGATTGATAGAAAAGGTAGGCTGTGGAAATAAACAAAGCCAAACAGGGGTGGAAATATTTGCCGTCTCAGAGACTGGCGGGCAAGTGGTCTACTGTGAGAGCTGTGCTCAGGGAAAGCAATAGCTTAAACGATGAAGAAAGGCAGCAACATACTTCCTCTGACAGAAAGCAATAAGGAAGCACTGAAAACTTTTCAGTGGATATAACGTGATACAACTTGTATTTTAGGAAGATGAGTTTGGTGGCTGGATCAGGAGTAAGCTGCAGGCTGTAGGCTATAGGCTATAGAGGGGAAATGTGGTAAGAACGCTGTGGTAATAGCTCCAAAGAAAGACAAGGAAACACTGAACTAGTGAATTCACCAAGGTGGAGGAGAGCAAGAACACATATTAGGACGCTGAGGTGAGAAGGATAAATGAATTTGGACATGATTTGAGTGTTAGAGGAGCTGAAGCCAGCCCCATTGAAAGATTCCAATTCACTGGCACTTTGCAAATATGAAAGAGCGGATGCAACCTATTCAGGATGAAAGCTAACAGGACCCCCTTTTGGCTGGGAGAAATATGGGTGCATGGTTAAAGCACGGATTGGAGAAGGTTCTCTCAGAATCGCTTTCAGCCTCAAGCACTTCAACAGGAACCATTTTGGAGTCAGCGAGGGTCACAGTTTGTGTGTTATATATTACTTGTTTTTATGATTCTGTTTAACATTGAGAAGTTACAGTGCTAAGAATGGGAATCACGACAGTGAAAAAAGAAAAATAAGTCTCTTCAACTGAGAGTGTATTGTTCAAATTGACAATTACACCATAAAATTAGCTGTTGAAGTCTTAGCCATACCATCCTTCGTAAATGCAGTGAGTTCATAAAACAGAAATCTCAGTGAACTGTAATCATTTTTGTTTCCACACTTGTTGAACCAGGCTATTAGACTAAGTGCGATTCGGTGGGGTTCATTTATTAAAGTAAGTTGGTAAACTGGTTATAATCACGTGAATCAAGATACCAAAATGCTGCTAGGATTCTCAGTGCCAGCTACCATCCCTAAAGTTACAGGGAAAAAGATATCCTCAATAAAATGCATAAATAATTTTAAATCATTATTTAAACCAGTAATTGGAATTTATTTCTTTAATAAATTCTTTAATAGGACTAGGTAGCAAACAGGATTTAAACTTCATCTCTTTAACCATCAAACAAATATAGCTACCGCCAAATTGCAGAAGCAAGGGAAGAAGAAAAAAAAGGATAACTGTTTACTTGATAGGATCCTAATATTTAGTTTAGGGTTTTTGTGTGTGTGTGTGTGTGTGTAAAAGAAATTTGGTGTTTCTTGTTTAGGAGAACAAAGTAAGATAGCCATATAATTCTTCTATTTGGGGGTATGAAGCACATAAACCTAGAAAGAAATGCTTCTTCAACTTAGTCTGGTTCTTTGCCCTGCAATAGTTATCGCCTTTCTCCATTCCCTCAGATGTGCCTGTTAGTTCTCAAATACTAGCCTTGATCCTGTCAGCCAACCCAGCTTTGATGGGATCTATGTGCAGAGCTCCAATCTGCTTTTGAGCTTTCCCCCAGCCATGTAACTAGGATTCTTCACTGTTCTGGGAGCTCTTCCTCCAACTCATGATAGGTGCCTTCGACATAATGACAGGTTCCAGGGATAAAATAATGAGTAAGACACACCTTTCCCTGTCACACCCTATAAAGGAAGAAAAAACATGAAACATTAACAGTAATATTGGGTAATAATTGCAATAAGAGTTTGTACCCATTATAGAGATGGCAGAGAGGAAAGAATGATTATGTCTGTGATATGGGCCCTGGAAAGGCTTTATAGAGGAGGAGACATCAGGGCTGTGTTTTCAAAGACAAATTCAAATTTTCATATTCAACCAAAGGTAATATAGGGAGACTGGGAGTAGATATTCCAGGGAAAAAGACAAAAAAAGGCAGGAAAGAATAAAAAGTTTGCCACATACTGTATAACTAGACCTCTGTATTGGTTTCTCTTTCTACATCCCTGTTCTTATAACTTCCCGAAGTCCCATTCTCCTCCAGGAGAATTGAGTTCTGCCCCAGAATATCAATCCCTTTTGATAGTGGCCCTTAGAATTCCCTGATGCTGCCTTTTACCCCCAGATCCTGATTCTGAATGTCACTGCCCCAAATCGTCAGTTCTGCGTCTGCTTTCTATCTTCAAAATTTGTTGGCCTGAACTGAGACAGCGTAATTGTGACTCTTGGCTACTGAGCTTTGCCTCTGTTGTAGATCAAGCTCTCTCTGAGGTGGAACTTCAGTTAAGGATTCAGATGCAAACGCTTTATAAAGGAGTGCTCCCTGGAGAAACGAGGAGAGACAGGGAAAGAAGCCAAGCAACAGTGTGATTTCAGGTGTAGCTCCAGACCTGGCCTGATCCCATGGGGAGCTCTGGAGGATAAATTACATTTCAGAGATTGTCTTATCTGGAGGCAAAGGAGCTGGGGTTTTGTACCCTCCTGGGAATCAGTCATTGGCTACAGGCAGACCTGGTCGTCTGTGTGTGGGGGAACCTAACCTACAGTCGCTTGCAGGAAAGTAACTCCAGCACACGAGAGTGAGCCTCTGAAGGCCATAGCTTCGGCTGTTAGCAGCACGGCAATCAGAAGACGGTGAGTGTGGCGAAAGGGGATCAGAAGGGAGCTGGGGAGGTACAGTGTCCACTACAGACTCACACCGAACCTTCCCCACGTTCGTGCCTGTGATGCCTCGTGGGCAGGCATGCTTCAGGCGCCTGAGTCTCCTCCCTTCTCCTTCCTGCCAGTATTAGCTGGGCTCCGCTGTGCCATAAAATGCCTGTATTCCTGGAAAGCTACAGACCCTTCAAGACAGGAAAAAACAGGGGACATTCTTGCTGCTTAGGAGGCTAGTAAAATCTCAGAGGAGCAGAGAGCTTTTGGTTTATATCAAAACACCATTCCATGTTGAATATAGGATTTGCAGCTTTAAGATGCTCAAGAGAACGGTAAGATGGATCTCTGGATTTGAAAAGCATAGGCTGCTTCCTGATCAGTATCCAAAAGCAGGATAAAATATTTCCAGGATATTTTGTTTTCAAATTTATAATGCTTCAAGTTTAATCTTTTTTTTTTTTTTTTTTTTTTGAGGAAGATTAGCCCTGAGCTAACATCTGCCACCAATTCGCCTCTTTTTGCTGAGGAAGGTTAGCCCTGAGCTAACACCTGTGTCCATCATCCTCTGCTTCATATGTGGGATGCCTCCCACAGCATGGCTTGATAATCGGCGTGTAGGTCTGCACCCGGGATCGGAACCAACGAACCCTGGGCTGCTGAAGCAGACTGCATGAACTTGACCGCTGCACCACTGGGCCGGCCCCATCAAATCCAATCTTTTTGATTAGAAAGTTTATTCTTGCTACAATGTAAAAGTAAGTGTAGGACAAGGGTATAAAGGGTAAATAATTTTTTGCAACTTCAACTGGTATTTTTAAATATTTTAAACCATGATTCTTACTAACACTATATGATTAGTAATTAGAAGTAATGTGGAAAAAACATGTGCCTTTTTTCTCTACTATTCTTGTATGAGGATTATCATTAGAGAGATTTTCTCTCTTTCTTCCCCTTTCTCTGAAATAAAATATTTGAAAAACTCAAATTACAGGAGTTATAAAAATGTACATTTGTACATCTCTTTTATGAGAAAGAGAAATAACAACGATGTAATCATATGGCAAGACTTTGTTGAAATTAACAACTTTCAGGTCAAATTAGAAAGCTAGCATTGATTCAACCTAGTATCTAGCAGCCTAAATTGATATTTATAACTACTAGTATGGCATAGTTACTGTTGTGAACAAAATGGGTTAACTTGTACTTACTATAGTTTAAGTATATTCTATTTTTACTCTATTTCTTGGAAAATTGGTAATCTATGTACAATAATTCTTACCTAATGAGACTATTCAATTATCCATTTTCCTGTCATTCTGGATAAATGAGCACTGGTTATATCTTTGTTTCCATCATTCCATGTTTGTGATGACGTCATACTCCAATTTTGAAGATAATTTTATTTATCACACTGGAATTGGCCAATGCCTGGAAAGGTTACATCTGTAAAGTAAACATAAAGCACTATGGAGCCAAGTGGAGCCCAAATGATTTATTTACATTTAACATTGATTTTTTAAAACCTCATTTCCCTGTTTTTTTACAGATGGCAGTGGAAAAAGCAATAGAATCTCTGAATGAAAAAATCCCCAGATTACTATGTTGTAAAAGCAAGTCCTTGACATTCTTCCTGTTTGTCTAGGGAGATGCTGACATCCACTCTGTGACCTTTGCCTCTGGAGGCAGCAGTGAAGGTCATTCATGCCTAGATGCTTGGATGTTTCTTCAAACACAAAATGGTAGTAGATAAAAGGAAATGACATATGGAATTGGCATGAATGACAATGGTCAGTGGGAGGAGAGATTATACTATTTATACACATTTGTGACTATAGATTATTTTCCTCCATGTGCTAATTTTGAAAGCTTTATGCAAATAACATATAAAAATTAGCATTTTCCTTTTGTTCCCAACAAAATACTACTGTGAGGACAATGCTTCTTTTTGACTTGTTGTTACCGTGCTACATTTGATTAATAATTAAGAAAAGAATAGATGAGTAGTCAAACATTTATTACTCACCTTGGTAAACTGAGAGTTTCATAATCTTACCTTAGATGGTAGAGTATGAGTGAATTGGTAGTCTTTCAAGAAATGTTTGTGAAGTTTTATTTTGTAATCCTGTTGGCATTGTCATTTGTAGGTTGAGTTCATCAAGTGGTATTTGATTTAAACAGCCTGTAAATTAAAAAAAGAAAAATCTTTAAATATGTTCCTATTTAGTGGCTGGATCCTTTTTTGGCCTTTTATATAAAAGACTATGAAAAGAAAAGAAATGATGCATTTTCCCAGTACTCCTGAATAATGTATCAAGATTTAAATCGAAAAGAATTTCACAAAATATCAGAGGCACTGTCTCTTTTTAGTAGACTCCAAATGTGGTGCATGGGAAATGTTCTTTTAGCAATTGCTATGGATGTGAGGCTGGTTATTGACTTATCGATACATTTTCTTGTTAAAGCTCCATGTTTTATATAGTTATACATGTAACAGTCTAAAAAGTTTTCATTAGTACCTGTAAAGCAAGGATTTTAATTTAATTTCTCTACCAAGTGATTTGTCAAAGTGAGTCCTTCTGGACCAGACTTCACTTTCTGATCATACTGGGAGTAACTTGAATTGCAAAAGCTCCATTTAAAATTTTTAAAATATGGTCCCCACAGAGGTAGGGGTCACTGATAGACTTTTCTAGGCTTATTCAGTATTTCCTGAGAGGCTGTTACCCTGGAAAGTAGTTAATAGCAGAGGCTGTTATATCCAACAGCCAACTCATCAGGAATTCCTCCTGGTAAACTTAACCTGTAAAATATATCCAGAATTGACAACTTGTTACCATTTGTGACCCTCCTCTTCCTGGATACCGTCACCTCTCATTGGGTTGTTGCCATCATCTCTTAACTGGTTTCTCCGCTTCTATACTGCTCCCTCTTGGTTCACTGTCAACACAGCAGCAAGAGCAATGCTTTGGAAACATAAGTCAGATAATGTTGTTCCTCTGCTTAAAACCTGCAATGACAGCCCACATCACTATGAATGAAAGCTCAAATCATCACTACAGCTTTGACTGCTCTACACGACTGCTTCCCCCCCCCCCCCCCCCCC